GATAGCTGATAGGTGGTGATGCCGTCTATGGCTGCCGTCGCATCATCCAGGTGGATGCTGCACATTGGTGGTGGTGGAGGGGAGACCCCATTGCCTTTGAGTAAATCGCTTTGAGTGGAGCATCCAGAAAAGCGCTATATAAGTGTAAGCAATTATTATATTATTAGAGTCAGAATATTTGAATCACAAAGTGCCAAGTCTCTTTTCTGTACTGTAGCAAGAGTTTTGTAGAAATCTTTAACAGCCAAGCTAAGACTGACGGTAAAGAAAGTAAATTTGTAAAATGGTAGCAGGAATTTCAGCCACATAATGGTTCATGTTTTTCATCTCAACCTTTTTTTCCAACCTCTTTCATTAATTCCCTTTAGCAACTGAAATACCAACTTGCCGCACTTCTTACAATATTATCTTTTCTTCCAATTGACCAGAAATCAAAACCAAAGAAAGAAAACAAAATTAATTCACAGACTTGGTCCTCCCATATCATCACCTACGAAAGTTAATACTGTATGTCTTACAATAGAATTTAAGTACAGTACTATGTACAGTACATTAGATCTTTTTTGGTCACTGACTCAGATACCAAGCTCTGATGCAAGATCTTCACTTGAAGTATGATGTACAGTATATCTGACTGTCTCTCTTTTTGTTTGGATATTTTAGCATGTGACAGGAATTTTCGCTTCTCGTTCTGCAGGAAGCCCAAGAAGCCCCTTAAAAACAAGAAGCTGACTTCAATAGACCAGTCTGCCTCTCTTTTCTAACCCCCCAACAGGAGCCCTAGAGCCTTTTTACCACCTTTTTACTGCCTTCCTGTAATGTTCTGAATCTCAAACACATCTGTTGAGAGACTGCATGAGAGTCTCTACAATTGTGTTCTCAACTGAGTTGCTGTATGGTGATTTTGCAGCTGATATTGACCCTGTATGAAAACATCCGTTAAAAGATTGTGGTGATGATGTTAATACTCATTTAGTTATTTAAGCTTATTTAAGTAATTAATCTAGTTACGATTAATTAAAATAAAGTTTTATAATCACTGAAATGGTGAATAACAACATTTCTAAAAAAGTTAGTGGTAAAATAAGTTTTGAGTTTTAAATTTATGCAGCTGTAGACCAGCTGCCCCACAGGAGATCATATATTTTATAGCTTGCATGCTCCCTCGCAGTGAATCAAACCACACACTCTAATTCACTGATAAAGCCAGACTTCAGAGTCTTTTACACTTGCAATGCCTTACATTATAATACTGAGATATTGCTGGGTCCTACTCTAGTGTGCTCTGGAGTGTACAATATCATATAATAGAATGACGTGATAGATGATGAACAATGGAATTATGCTGAATTTTATGCTCTTAAAGTTTGAATATACATTTGTTGACATGGGGGAAAAATCCCTTCTGAGTTTAAAAGACACAAGAAAAACCTCTGATCATTCAAGTATCACTTCCACAAGGAACTGAACAGACACCCGTGCTCATTCTCTTGGATGATTTGGAACCTGAGCAGCGCTCTTGCAGGTACTGTAAATAGAAAAACTAATAATGTACTACTTCACCTATCCTGACTCACAAACCTGTAGAAACAAGATTTGAATGAAAAATTGTGACATTTTGATGTACTACTGTGCTAACCGAATGCCATTCAAAATGCTTAAATGACCAAGATGTTTTTGCACACTTTTACCAATGTTTTGAATTAAGTGATGAGAAGACAGGGTAGAGTGTGACCCATCTAGCTCATTTAGTTGAAAGGAAAGAATCAAAGAATAAAAATAATTATCCATGCATTGCTTTCTTACACGATTGTATATGAGTCGTATGAGACCCTTTCTGCATTAACATTAGCTTTCTGTAGAACAAAACAGCATATGGAAATATACTTATAAAATAATTGTTTAAAGAAGAGCAATATAATGCTGCAGTAGCTGGCATTACTGCCTCTCAGAGCTGGGGCACAGGGTTCAATTCCAGTCTGGATTTGACTCGTTCACCCTGAGTTCGTGTGGGTTTCCTCCCACAGTCCAATAACTTACTGGCAGGTTAGTTGTCTTCTGGGATAACTGGCCCTAAATACAGTACGAGTGTTCCAGTGTCTGCCTTGCAATGGGCTGGTTTCTTGTCCCTTGCCTTGTGCCTGTTGCTTGCCAGAATAGGTTCCGGCTTCCCTTGACCCTGAATTTGAAGAAGTGGCTAGAAAACGGAGGGGTGACTTTAAAGATTTCAGGATTCTTTTTACAAAGTTATCTTTTGCTTGTAATAATTAAATACATTTACCCAGTTCTCAGTGTACCTGTAATAGACTTTATCATTATAATAATGTACAATTCAATATCTAACCAAAGATTTCCAGGACTCAGCAGTAATATATTTTTTTGAATCACAGTCCACATTGCTATATAGGCCATTCAACTGAGATGTTGTAATTTGGCAGTTAAGGGAAAAGTTGATCTGATAATGATTAATCAATCTCCCTGGAACTTTCAAAGAAGGCAGAACATACACAGAAATGTTTAAAGACAATCTCTGGAACCACTGCAGCAGAAAAATGCCATTAATTGCTTTCTAAACAGATAAAATTATATGGTCATACAGAAAATTATTATTTCTGTGATGAAACTCAACATAAGATGTGGTTAACTATGATAAAAAAAACAAATAATTTGTCATTCAGTTCTACTTTTTTTATACTGCAACCCCCAGGCTAAAAGGATGTTGAAAAGATTCAAAAGTGAAGTTATGTCTCATGTCTTCATCATGTCTGGTTTACGTCTACAGGAACTTTTAGTTGTTGCACTAGACCGATGTGTGGAATCCTTAACATGTAAGTCCGTAACATCTAACAACTTACCTGTTAAGGACTCTGTATTGCTAAAGGATAGAAAAATTGCATGGAATTACTGCTTTGATATTGCTCTCATTATGTAAGCAATGTTATAATAGTGATTTGAAGTCCATACAATAAGAACATAAGAACAGTTACAAACAACAGAAGATCATTCAGCCCATCTAACCCATTTGTAAATCTGTAGACCATGGAGGTGTGTGACTTTGTTGTTTTCTATAGCAATCCACAGCTGTCACTGATTGTTTGCACTGATCTGTGATGAAGAGATCATTTTGACAACTTCTACTGACTGAAATCTGATGGCTTCTTCCTCAGAGATGAAGAGTTATCCTGTAAGAATGCCCCATCTTAACCTCACTGGTCCCAAGTAGATTTATCTTAGAAAACTAAGTGTTGGATCCTTAAAAAAAAGTTAATTATAGTAAGTAAATATTTTAATACCTCTTTTCTAAACCAAAAGCAATATCCAAGACTGTGTCATACCTAGGCCCTCTATTCTTCTAGGTGCTCTCTAGGTGTGCTGCTTGATGTAATATTACACTGGATATTACACAGTAGCATTAATAAGAGTACACCTTAGCATATTTGACTCAAAAGAAAACAACTTCGTCTTCATAGACTTCATACAGCATTGTAGAGGCTAATACAGAGTGACTGGTGAGACACAAACTAAACTTACGGAGGAATCTTGTTTCAGCAGTTAATGGACTCTCCAGGATATTGCAGAATATCCAATAGTCTAATTGAATAATGCAGAATATCCAACAATCTGATTGAAATTTCCAAAGAAACTGAATCCTTTAACTAACAGAATTTTCAATATATTATCTCTCACTATTTACTATTTAAGGAAAATAAGACTACTGAGAATACTTGAACTTGGAGTCTCAGAAATGGTCATCTTAGGTGAGGTAATAATATTTGCAAACGGGGTGCTTGTGCAATGCCTAATTTCTTAGTTATTTATTTTTCTATTAACTATAATTGATAAAATAAGTCTCATTCTCTGATTGCTCCCTGCTTTGAAATCAGGGCTCCTGAAGCTGAGGGACATAATCACTTTAATGTTTGCATCGGTCATTGTAGTACAACCAGAACTCTTTATCTTCAAAGCATACACTCCCTAGTGCTTAATTAGATTCAATTCTATTTTATTTACCATTGCATTCGATATGTAGCTCTGGAAAAACAGGCTTTTACTGATACTTACATTATAGCACTTTGAAAATTTATAAAACTCTATTAACTTAAGATCTACAGTAAGTGCAGGTTGCAAGTACACATTGCTAAAAATATAAAAATAACCATGGAAAAGGTGTACTTTTCTTTATAGTGCCATGAAGATGCTTAGTCATCAACAATTAGTCTTATCCATACACATCTCTTTCAGTCCACTGCAGACAAGCTAATGCTTGCTTTTGTTTGGTATATCCAAACATGTTCTTAAGCTTCTCAAATTCTTAACCAAAATTAAAATGCAAAAACAGATTTCACCTGTTTTAAGCTTCCTTGTGCACAAATTCTGGCCCTCTTTCAGTTCACATATGAGGCTATGAACAATGGGAGATACTGCTGTCTGTTCTGTTACTCTAAGATTGTAGAATCATCTTTCAGCCCATATCAGATCTAGCAAGTAAGTCAACAAGCACTTTCAAATTCACTTTTATACTTTTAATTCTGTTTCATATACTGTGTAATTGTATACTCATCTTCTTTTTGTTTTACTGTACAGTGTCTTGGGATGATGAAACATAAGGTTTTTGCTGTCCAATTCCTTGTAAAAAGAAAGACTTGACAACATCTGATATTCACACTTCTTTCTTATCAACTTCTGAATTTCATAAGTAGAATAGTTTTTTAAATTCAAGTAAAATTCTGTATGCAGTGAAAGAATGAAGAGAATTTAAAAATATTCATTGATTAAGAGACTAAAAGAGAAAGGCTGTTGTACATTAAACTGTATTTAAAATATAAATAATATTCTGAAAAAATACCTGGTTTCCAAAACTTAAAAAAATATTCCTTTTTGAAAATTTCTCTGTTTAAATATCTATGGCTAGATATGTAAAACCTTTTGGCACCATGCAAACTATGAAAAATGTTTGTTAAACAGAAAATACACTGAACTATTACAAGAATTACACAAGGTTTCTGGATTAAACAGCTCATTTAATCTCAAGGGCATTTATCAAGATGCTTTCTGGTAGAAACTTTTCCTTTTACATTAAAAGTGCAAAACTATTAATTGAAAATTAATTAATTAAACTATCTATCCATCCCATATTAACTGAAATTGAAATGTTTGGAATGGAGTCATATCACTAATACCAATAACAGGATCTTCAGAAATCTGATTCTGTGTCAGTCTAGCTTTTTTTAAAAATGTTAAACTAAAGCAATTGGGAGAGATTAAATATTACTATGATACAAAATCCTGACATTGTTTTTACTTTTAATTCGAGAAGCGTGGCCCTTTCATGGAAGTTTCCTCTGAGTGACTTTGTTGTTTTATCCATAAAATCAGGATAATCTAGACGCTAACAATCACATATTGAGTTCTGGTCATTCAACATATTTATGTGAAGAAAAGGGTATATCTGAGTTGCCCTACATCTACAATTTATATTTTAAAAATTTCTTCACAACGGTTTTTGATACACTCTACTCCTCCTTTTCAAAGAGCACAATCTTGCTTTCCGAGCATCAGACAGTTTCAACAGTTTGCTCCTCTGCTTGAACAGCCTCCTGGACATACACAATGAACTGGGAAGCATCTTCTCCCTGTGTGTAAACAGTAACAGTCTCAATTCCTTCCACATCATCCGAGGAGACTACCAGATGGTGTTCCTCTCCTAGGCCTACTGATGCTTGTTGTAAAGCCTCTTGAATCATCACTGCGTGGTTCCCTTGTTGCTCCTCTTCAGCAACCTGTGATAAATGAAAAGAATTGTGCTTGATGGCTCAGTCAGTAAAACCATAGGTAAATCTATATTACATCAAATATTTAACCAACAAATGTCTCCTCCTCTGTGGAATCTTTCACAAGATCACTTGTGTGTTGACATTATTTGCAAATGTTTTCCTTCCGGCTTTGGACAAATATACTGTACCCATCTCTGTTATCAGACTAAAGGGTAATAAGAATCAAATGTTTTCGTTGGAAACAAGTGGCAGATTTGGACTATTGACTATCCTGGGGTGAGACAGCAGGATATTACTGGTGTACACAGGATGTGTGTACCCACTCATACGTCAATAATTTCCAGACACTAACTATCCTAACCAGCAGGTCTTTGGGAAGTGGAAAGAAAACAGATCCAGTTAAAGATTACGCAGTCATACACAGAACATATAACATCACAAAGAAGGCATTAAAAGGGTAAGATTGAACCAAAAGCAGTGCAGCTATTAAACTGTTATTTAATATACTGACAATATATTCATATCAAAATTATATTAGCTCAATTAGAGTAAATAAAAAAGTGATGATTTCGATGATTAGTTTCTTGTAAAAAAACTAACCTGAATTTGAGAACAATCAATTGCTGTCTGATTTTACTTTGCATTCAAAATTTAGCAATTTTCTTATCCTGTACATATGAACGAAAGGTACTTGATTTTTTTTAAAAGTGTGAAATTCCAATTATTATGCTAATTGGATAAAGTAAATTAGCCTTTGTTCGTTAGTAGTGTTACAGTTGAACTTTCAAGCCTTGACGCATATGGCCTTGATAAAAGCAATGAACTGAACTCATTTAGGCTTATAAAGACATTTTTGCAGTGATGATGCACATAAACAATTAAGATGATCTTTGTTGGTCCTATAGGGAATAAAGAACATCTAAAGACCATTTTATATAGTCTGCTTTGACAAACTAATGCTACACCATTTACGTGGCCTTTAAGTAATGAACATTTGGGTGTTCACTAAAATACACTATGTACAATGACCTGAGCTGTTAGCATTGATACAAAACTGATTACTATGTTGCTGTTACAATAACCATTAGCTCAAATTATTGCTATCATCACTACTATCGTTACTATTATGCCTCAAATCCTAGGCCAAGGGATTTTGAAGTTTCCCATGATGCCTTAATTTGCTTTTTTTTATAGGCTGCTTGGTTTTATTTAAACCTCACACTTCACCTGAAAAGGTAGGTCAGTTTTTCTCTCTACTGCCAATATTTCGACACGTGCATTAAAAATCTAATATAAACATTAGTTCAGGATTTCAAAGTGGAGCTTTGTAAAACACTTGATAGAATATTCTTTTTGAAGTTCTTCTGCTCCCTCGAGTGATGCTTTACCTTTAATTGCTCCAAAGGCAAATTTTCATTTTCATTTGAGCGCAGTGTGCAAGTGCTGACCTGATGTGGAAGAACTCTGTAAATAACTGCTCTGACATTTACAACTCCATAATACATTTCAGTTATTTTTCGACATGGTGCAGTTTTACATTTTGAAATTCAATCTTTCCCTTTTGCTGTATAAAATGAAACGAGAATGAGTTCCATAAATATCATGAATTTAAAAGATGTAAAAATCATATTAAATCATTTGCACGTACTTATAACCCATAATTATTCTTATTAAAAAAAAGATGTACAGTGTATAATGTCAATGACTTTATATTTTTCATTTTACTAGAGGCTTTTAATTTTGTGTGTATGAGTCAAATATACTCTAATTCATCTTTTGGACACTGATTATTCATTTCAGTCCTTGTTTGCAAAAGGAGAGTGGCATTTCTATCCACATTATCTGTGAATTCGGGTTGATGCATTTCGTTCTTTCGCCACTGTGAAAGACACACTAGAACAAAGTAACTCCTTAGGTCCATAAATAATAAAAAATGCCACAATCTGTCAAGACTATGATGCAATAAGATCAATAAATTACATTACCATTAATTCAGAAAGTTTTACTGTATTTGATAATGACATCTCACCTGTTCCACCACAGTCACAGTTCCAGGAGCCATAGCAACTACTGAGGCGACAGCAGTGTCATGATTCTCTGAGCCAAGCTCAATTATTTGTTGAAGAATATTAACTGCCGTGGGATCCAATCTCTCTCCTATAGTAAATATCAAACCGAAGCAAGCAATAAGCACAAGAAAGACAAAAACAATAACAGCAACAACTGAAATTCTCGATCTAAAATTAATTTAACTTCTGTAAACGGAACAAAACCCAAAGAAGATCAATTGAACATGGCTGAAAACCTAATGATACAAAATAATGTAAAAAATGAGAATGCAGCATTTTGATTTATATAATATTCACTATTAAAAAAATGCTCAAAGGTGTAGATCCCAAATAAAACAAAAGGAAGAGAATGAGAACGCTCACGGGATGATTCCAAAACTTTCCTGCTTAATTATAACATTTCATTTGATGAAGTCCAAGGTATTTTTTTGTAAACTAGGTAATTGAAAAAGAAACTCTATTTCATTTCTCTTTTGCATTTTCTGCCTGATTGTACAAACATCAGGAAAGAGCTAATAAACTGTACTGTCACAAACTCCTCCCTGGTATTTGCTTTTACTCACCATTTTCAGTGTTGTACCGCAGATCCTGGAGTGCTGCTACAGCAGCCTCAGTTCCCTGGAGATCTTCAGTCTCTGTAATATGGAGATATTGGGTAGATGGCTCGTCCAAGGAGGATTCTACAACCTGCTGAAAGATACACATTTTGAATTCTGTGCCTTTGGGCTATGCAGTAATCTATTTATAAAACAATAAAAAAAACAACGTTAAAACTTGAAAAAGAAAAGGCTATGGCAGTTCCTTATCTTCTTTTGCTTTAGAAGTTTAGTAAATACTCCTCGTGCTATTGTATTTTGTTTCTGATTCTTTAGGGGAGATCCTGTACTAAGAATAAGCAGCCAAGTGCCTGGAGGCCCATATTTAAAAGCCAGTAATATTAGAAACAATATACTGCAACAGTTTTAGCAAGTAATTATGACAACATTTGTAGCAGTTACAGCAATTTGAATGACAGAGGATAAGGGAGATTAATTTTAGTGGGACAATATGACTAGAAAAGATGAAAGGTGATGGGGAAGCAGTTTATATTGGAGATTCCACTTCTGTGACTGCAAAAAATAAATGGAATTGTGAACTGGTTTGTAAGAAAGAATCAAAACTGAACAACTGGAACCCCGTTTAGCCTATAATACAACCAGATTTGCATGTGTAAAAGAAGAGGTTATATCATTGGTTGATTTCAGTTTTCTTCACCTAGAGTTATACAGGCCAAATGAGATCATTACTGCTAAAACTGAAACGGAAATGACAAAAATGATTGATATTGTGAATCACTGCTTTCGTAGCCAGCTTGTCAAAACACCAACAGAGGCAAGTGCGTGCATTAATTTGATCTTCACAAATATCCCAGATGGATTAATAAGCATAGAAGAGACACATTAGGAAACTGTGAGACCAGAATATGATCTTGTATCATCTAATCTTTCAATAAGCTGACAATGACTTTCAATAAGCTTAAAGCATACCATGTAAACAGAAGCCCTTTCAATGATGTTGATATCAACCTAAACTGTTTCAGAAACTTCACTCATGCATGGTGACAAGGGCATAGTATAAAAATATTTTACACTGAAAAGGACTATGTTTATTATCTATAGTCATAAGTAACCAAACAATGTCCTTAGAGGCAGCTTTTTGAGTCACCTTACCTCCCACTGATTTCCATCAGTCTCCACAAGCTTAAGACCATGCTTGTTTTTAAGATGTCTATTCATCTCCCATTTCGTGCCATAAACAAAGTTACAGACAGGACACTTGACACCTCCTGGAAGTAAAAATACGAAACAAATTTGGGGCAGGTTAGATGTTTTACAACTGAAAGGAAAACGGAATTCTTTACATTAAAGTACATGAGTATCAATAGAAATATAATGTGGAAGTAAAATCAATGTTATGATTTTTGATTTGCTGATCTTTTGTTGCTCTCAGGTTTTAATTGAATGACTTGATTTGTCCTTTTGTCCCCCAAACTCTTTCGCAATTAACCAGGACTGCATTTCTGTTAAAGCCTCTTGTATGTAATATCAGAGTACAGAACGTATGTCTCTATACTACTGTTTAAAAACAGTATTTTATTGATAATAAGAATAATTAATTGCATTTATATTGTTTTTTTAATTCCAAAGTGCTCTTCACACGCGGAGGGGATGCAATTAATTCACCAGTGAAAAAAACATGACAGCCTTTATGCACCAGCTGTCCCACTGCACAGATCAGGCACAGGATGGACAGAAGTGAAGTCTCACCAAATAAAGAAGGGGGAACTTTAGATTGGTTAGTGAGGAATTTAGCTAGGACATTGGGATGAACACTACTAGTCTTACTAACATTGCCACAGGATCTTTAACAAGCAAGTAGTCATAGTATAGGCTTAACGTCTCATCTAAAAAACACCATCTTATTCAGTGTCAATCAGCATATTAAGATATTGTTTTGACAATTATGTTCCAAAGGGGAAAGAAGATGTACTACTGTAGTACACCGACAGCAGGGATATTAAAATTATTTATCTATAAGTCATGCTGTCATTTTAAACTGCAGGTAAATCAGAGTTTTACATGCAGCATACAGTATATCTCTTGTGTATTATAGGTAAGCTGTGAAAATTCAAGTCCACAACCCACTGCTGTCTAAGCATTCTAGGCACCAGACTTATCTAATGTGAATTACAGTTTCATCTTATACTATACATCAGAAGATTTGAACAGAGATAACATCAATAATTGTAATTTAATCTTTAAGGCATCAGATATGCACTTTTTTATTATAATTACCATAGCTACTGTATGTACATTGTGATAAAACAATTTTTCTTTTAAAACATCTTCAAGTGTCTTTAATCTGCAGACAAAATATTTCCGTAAAAAAATCCAAGTACGAGATATAAATCTGGCAAAAGAGTATTATAAAAATAGACACTACACAGTGCATCATCTATCAGAATTCAAAACAGCTGTACACTTTCAGAGGCTCTTGGCTCCTCTTTAATCTTTCTGAACTCACAGCTGCCAGCTGTTAAGTCCTTTTGGCATTTTAAAATTAACAATAAATTTTGCTGCAGTCGTAATCTGCCAAACAAAATAAATGCACTTAACCATTCACTGAAATGATTGTCTTAAAACACTACTTATTTCAAAACTCCAAACCACAACTTAACTGTAGTATTCTTTAGAAAAATATTATCCATTAGAAAGGGGAAGACAGAAATGACATTGCATTGTCAATTAGCGATGCTGTCAGAATCTGGCATCCAACTGGCTTAAGATGACTGACCTTGTGTGCTTTACAATGATAACCGGAAGTGCACCAAAGCATTTCAAAACCACCTTAAATTTAGCCTACTCAGGATCAGCTTTATTCCATTGTTGTAATTGCTTTCCCTGAACATACAGAAAAGATTGGGTCCCTTATATGAAACTGCGAATACTATAATGATTGCCTGCTGGCATTAACAATGTTTATGTTATATATCGTGTACTGTTTGAGTCACATGAAGTAATTGATAGGGAAGTGATTTTTCATTAAACAGCCTATTATAATTCTCAGAATAGGTCCCTGAAATGAGATCAAGAAGGGGAAATCTAAAGAAAGAAAATGCAACTTGTATGCATTAGATATTTATGTGTTAGCACTGAAACTAAATGCATTTTAATAAATTGTCATAGATCTCTCTAGTTGACAGTAAAAGACATTTTAAATTATTTATTGTATTGTAGGCAATCATTCCATTCATTTCACAATTTTGCTTTACTTTGTGCATTAAGCCCAGCTAAAACTGAGATCAATATGAGGGGCCAGGCTAGACCTAAAACTCTCCAGCATAAACAAAAATTATAGATTAGAAAGGATTGATTAAGCGATTTAAAGCTTTAAACTCAAAATGTATGAGGAACCTACAAAAATGGAAATGATATCCATATGAATAATTACATGATTCAGGAAACATCTCACAAAAATGCATAAGTGTGTGGAAGCAATTGCTAGGCAATGGTTTGAAAACTGATCAAAGAAACAGACTGCCAGACTTTCTTGGACCAAAATGTTGTGTTAATGCCCTGATATCCATCCGTCCCACTAACTAGCAGCACCAAAATTATTTAAATGACGTGTTTATGTAGCTTTGTCAAAAAGATAGGAGGACGCAAGATATGTTCATCTGTTGTATCTAACAATAAACACCTTTATTACAAGAATTAAAGCATTATTTTTTTGTGAATTTTGGGATTGGTTATATTCCCTTTTCTTTACATTTAAAACCAAGTTCAAACTGAAGCTTTTGATACTTGAAGAATGCATATGATGTTCCTACTTTGATGTGCACTGCCAAACTCAGCATGTGCACATTCCTTCTCATTCAGCAAATCTGGGCAGTATGCAGAGAGACACCAGTGCAAATTGATGACAAAGGCAACTTTCATGGATAACCAAAAACCTCATGCACATTACTTATCAAAACAACAATTAGATTAGAGGATATCAGCCACTCATTGTCAAGTGCTCCTGGGTAATTCTATATTGACAAGGCCACTTTATCACAGTAGCTCTGAGGTAATTCTGCCTTGACACTGGGAACTGCCAGGCCCTGGAAGTGGCACAACCTGGATTTCATCCTACAGTCACTTTTTGACACAGGTTGCAAATTAATCCACTTATTCTGCAACCTGTATCAAACAGTGTACCACTTAGTTGGATGTATTGGAAAGAGATCTGTATATAAATCATTCTAATGGCAAAAAGAGAGCAATTTCTGACTAAAAATACACATTTTTCAAAGACATAAACAATCTATTCTCCATCTCTTTCAATACTAAGTATAATTGGTGATGTTACTGACAGTAACCCTGAAATGTATCACCTACTGAAAGGATTATTTGACCTCACAATCAAGCCAGATCAGGGATTTTCTAGCTGGAGTCCACATAAAAAATAGAATACAAATAGTGAACAGAAGTTTTTTCTTGATGAAAACAAAGAAAAGGCAATACAAGAGTCTCACAGGTTCCATATACTGAAAAAAGGACGTCTTTCTGGTTAATGCCAAACTTAAAAAGAAATGGAAAGCAATGAAAACAATTATATGAAGTAAACTGAAGGATCAATTTTGTGGAAACAATATCAGAGAAAATAGGCAGCATAGTTTAGAAAATATACATCTTGCCTTATTAATTTGTTAGAGGTCACTGAACAATCAATACCAATAATGGACACACATGTAGAGCATTGGTTATTAAAAAGAAAATAGACAGGTCCAGATAAGAGATGAATACTCAATCTGGGTTGATGTAATTTGTAGATTACTACAGGGATCTGTACTAGGACTATGCTTTTCAAAATGTATATTAATGATCTAAATTCCAGAATGATAGATGATAATAAATTATGAGAATTGTAGGAGAATTAGAAAACACTATAAAAGCAACAAATGCAAATAAGAAAATATTTGATGCAAATAATGACTGGGAAAACACATAGCAGATGACGTTTAATGTAAGCAAGTGCTTACAAATGTTCTGTAAAACCAGAACAGGGGGGACTTTCTTACCCACAGATTAAAGATGGGAGTATGGAACCAGCCATGCTGTTAATACCCCAGTGTCTTTCAAGATATGGCTAGATGAGAGTCTTGGATTAATAATACTAACTACCACACAAGCTAGATTGGGCTGAATGGGCTCCTCTCATTTCTAACCCTTCTTATGTTCTAAAAATACCCTTTAAAAAGAGACAAATTGTTTTAAAGCTTGACATGTAAATTGATACTGTAATAGCTTAACTTCATGGGTAAATTATAATTAATTAAATATCATTCAGCTTTCTTTTCCATTCATTTAAATGCAAATAGTTTTGAGAGCATAATTAAAACTACTGCTGACTGAAATATCATCTCTCCCAAGTGAAATATAGACATATCAAGACTTCGAGCTTGTTGCTGCTAAATGGGAAAACATAGCATTCAGGAATATTTCAAGTGTTTTTCAACCTGTGGCATTCATTGCTTGTTACGTAAGAAGAGTGGGTTCATTTTTAAATGATTAATATTTTATGAAGATTGTACTAATAAATCACTAAATAATCAACATGAGAGCAAACATTCAGGAAGCAGCTAAAGGCATTTTATTTTATATTATGGCATGAAACATACATAATACACACAAAAAACATATCAGTAGTCAGTATCAGTAGTACAGATGTAACGTCAAATTCAGGGATGCAATACACAATCTTAACTAAAAGTTAAGGACAAAAGGAGAAGTCTGTATGGAAATTCATGCAGTATGTTGAACACTGATTAAAAAACCTACCTTGTTGAAGCAGCATATCTGCAGCTGGAGTACCCAAGCCTGCGTTTGTGTATTGTTCATTGGGATGCTTTTTGTTGTAGTGCCTTTTCAGGGATCCAGACATGTTGCAAGAATAGTGGCAGTGTGCACATCGGAAAGGCTAGAAATGAATCATGAAAAAATCATATTTGGTGATCAGTTATTTCCTTTGAGTTGTAAGAGCCGAACACACAAATGCACACCAGCTATCCAGGCACTTGTATCAAATAATTTTCATTAACGTGATTTCTGCTGACACAGACGCAATGCAACATATTGGGATAACCTTGTAATAAATTCATGGCTCCTTCTACATACCAATGTGGCAATGAGTAAGGTTAAAGTCAAGTGTTCGGAGTGGGTTTTGATACACACAGATAGATTCTAGGTACTGTAAGTGTTGTGTTTTTTGCACCAGATAATTGACTAGTTGAAACCAATAACAACAGAGGTGAAGACTACTGCAAAGGTTTCAGTTAATTTTGGACCCTGCTCCTCCTGGTTTTTATCTCTCATTTTTAACCCAATTCGGAACAATCTTAAAGTGAAAGAAAAGGAGGAATGAAGTCCATAACATAGCATAGCAGCCAAATCAAACATTTCAATTTTTCAGACCCCCTCAATTGATTGTAACTTAACCATCCAGTACTCTGATCTTGCCAAGCAAATGCCATAAATATCATAAACACTCTCATACATCATACAGTACATCCTGTATGTTATGCAAGTAAGACATAATTTCACTCCCTTTTAATCTCAACAGTAAAATAAATGCTAAATGCTCAGTGTGAAAAATGCAAGAGGAAATAGGCTCTGCAGTATAAATGCAAAATCTAATTCAAGACAAAATTCCTGCTGAAGTGTTTCTGCTGAAGGCACCATTAGGCATGTTACTTCAACAAGGAAATTAATGGACAAATCCTAGGCTGCCAACTGTTCATAAATTTCCAGACAGCCTGTAAAATATGTCCAAATTTCATTTTTGAGAACTCCTAAATTACAAAAAATGAACTTTGTTTTACGAAAAGTTCATGTTTTAATGAGCCATTTCTTTTTAGATGTTGCATTTGGTGCTTGTAACATAGCTAACATGGCCAGAACTACAGCAAGTAAGCTGCCACCCACACTCTGGAAGCATACATTCCACAAGGTCAATCCACCTTCCCCCTTAATGAAAGGTTTTTCATTAAAATGTGTTATTTATCCCACGACCTTTCAAATGTAAAAGTATATGGTTTGTTTTTGGATACAAACTGTACAAAGAACATAAGCAAAATCTATTTTAAACATCGTAATGTGAGAACAAAAGCCATACTATTTAGTATGAAAGGAGATTTGAAGCCTCAATTCTTGACACTTTCCAATTGAAAAACGATTTGTTTGCTTTCTAGCTCTCATCTAAAGATGCACTTGTTGGAAAGCTCGCGAAGGAGAACACAATAATTGTGATTTGTGCAGAAATCTTTGTGTGTCCTTGGGCTAGCACCAAGCAATTCAATGACGAATTCATGCAACCTTATGTATTAACGCAAGAAGCAATATAACAATGAAGAACCCAAGCGGACTAAGATGAAATAAAATGCGGTTTCTAAACTGGCTATTATTTTTATGTTATGGACTTTCTTCCTCCTTTACTTTCACTTTAATTTGTTTTCATCACAAATAAAAAAAAGTACATTACCAAGCAGTCCAAGGCTGGCATTTTTCACATTTTTCACAATTATGCCACAGACTGTTTCAGTCATCTCGGTTTTCTCAACCAGATTATCGCTTAACATCTCTCAGATGCCAAAAACCATATTAGCTAATCACTCTTCATGACTGACAACTGGAAATTACTGTATGACTGATACGTCCTGGATTCTGCGCAGACTGTCACTGAATATTTGGAAATCCTTGCACCATTCTGACAAAAAAAAAAATTTCTTTCCAGCGTAAATTCCGAACCAAGCAAAATCAACACAAAAAAACACAGTAAAAGTAGGAATTGTAAAAAATAACATTTTGTATCAGACAGAGAGATCTTAAAAGTAAGACCTTTCAGGAGTCTGGTGAATCTTTAAAAGCACAAGGCCACTCAGTGATATGGATATTAAGGAACTCTTGTGATATCACAATGCTTGTGAGGAAGGACAACTTTACATCTAATTTCCACTTCTCATACAAATAATGTGGTTGTGGAAAAATAGTGATTTGAAAAAAAAGTAGTTTCCACCTCCATAGTACTCTGGAAAAGAAAGAACTAATAAATATCCCTAATATATAATAGATCTATCATTCCTTACTCTTTTTCAAACATTGATAGATTTTGTTTTCCTTTTTCATGTCTGCAACATGTCTCCTGTTACCTTAAATGAGGCGTGTTGTTCCATGTGGCGCAGAAGCTGGGGCTTCTGAGCTGCTGTATATTCACACACAGTGCATTTAAACTGCCGGCCTGCAGAAAGGAAATGAAGGTTGATCAAAAGATAATTTTCTCAAAAATATGCAAAGTCCCACTTGCACACTGAAGGCAGATGGGTGAGGGTAACTGGATAATGAGAGTCCAGGCGACAGAGGTGAAGCGATCATCAGGCTTTTTTTTTTTCAGTTGAAGTTAAAGCATCATACAGCAGCATAAGGGGGGGAAAAAGTTGTATTTTCTCTCTTTTTTTCCTTCTCTGCCTGTTTCCCCTGGCAGAGGTCTCTCTTTATAGCCAGATAACAGAAGTTGCAATTCTCATTCCCAGTCAGCCCCCTGTTCCAGCAGACGGAGGACTTTCCTTTCTTGCCTTTCAGTTATCAAAAACCCAATTTGCAGTGACCCGCAGTCTACGCATTATGTCTGAATCTCAAGGACATATTGTTAACAAAAGAAGTGGTTTGAACATAAATAACTATTTACAGATGCAAGGTCATTGGTGCTTTGAGTACAGGCATAAGGTTACAAGTGTGATAATTACAATAATTCTGAGATTATCATGTTATATAATATATATAAACAATTACTCAATATAATGGATTTAATACTGTATATAATGTACCAACATATACAATACCGTATGTAATGCTAGTTGAAAGCTTTGGAACCCTTAGAACTTGAGAGGCAAAAACAAAATGCCAGTATGCCACATTGTCTGAAATAAAAACATATGGGAGGGGGTCTTCAAAAATAGCATTACAATAAATCTCTATTACACAAATAACAGTTGCTATGTATGTATTAAAACAGGGAAGATGTGACCTGAGAATTTAAGAAGTAAAAGTCTGATAATGTATCAATATGATCAAAGATTAGCCTTTCAATTTTCATAAAACAAAAAGAAACAGCCAATCAAATCTCTACTGTTTAATACAATTGTATTAGGAAATCACTTTGAGGATATTACTTTAATTCTGATAATGAACATCCGACGATGCCAAACACAAAGCTATATATCAATCTGCTCTTTCTCACTGGAACTATCGGTAATGAATGTTTGCATGCCACCAAAAGCACTTAAAGTAATTCTTGTACTTTGTTGTATTAAGAAATTATACTAAACTGAAAACCTAAGACGAAACGTCATGAGGCTTCAGTTTTATATTTCAAGCCAGACTGAAGTCTTACCACACAGCAAAAGCAAATAATATTAGTCTGTCAGCTTTCCCCCCTGTCTGCTATTCAACTGGAATAAAAAGCTCAAATACTTGTTTCCTTTTAAATACTATTTCTCACTAATGGAACTTTTTTGCTGTCATTGTGAATTCTACACCTTTTCAAAAAATCATTAAAGCATTTGCGATTTAATCTATCCCACTTGATTTTTTAAATAAAATAGTTTCCTTACAAAAAAAACTTTTCTGGAATTGGACACCATTCATTTGGAGGTTAATAGATGTAAAGAGATGCTTGCAATCTTCCAGATAATTGCTTTACTCAATTGCAGGTCACACACCTGCGGTTTTCAAAATGTCCTAATAAAGGCCCTCTGATAGACTATGTATCAGCGCTGTTAATATTCCCACGCACTAGTCCAGAAATATCATCATTGTGCCAGTCTTGATCCCATTAGTTTTATGATAATTGGGCACATCCATGAAGAGTGTGGGGGTCAGAAGGGGATCAACTACTCTCATGCACTTGCTAATGGATTTCAAACGCCAAGACCCCAGTCAGCAGTGTGAAGGCAAAGTGCCAGATTTATAAACAGTAACTTTTTTCTTCCCCTGTGTAATAGCTGTAAAGTGAATTCCTGGGTGAGGATAATTGACTGCCAAGAGATAATCTTACACTGTAATATCCCACAGGAATTAGAAGGCAAAGGTACTGCAAAAAGGTACTGTACGTGGCAATTGGCTGTCTAGCATCTAGACATGAGCCTTTCTCAATGATAAAGGAGACATCATTTAATCTTATAATATAAAAAATAGAAATTTAAAAGCATGGTCATATGTAAGGGTTAAACATTTGCACTTCTCATGCTTAATTTACATGAATATCCATAAACATATCCTGCTGAAAGTGGAAGTCTCTAATGTAAATAGCAGAGAACCGAGAACTTTTTTGACATCCTTATCCGTTGGCACCTAACTTATAAAGTAAACAGCTCCTGTTGTGCACATTTAAGCACTGTTGTTTTACTTCTTCACTGAAGTTAGCATTCATTGTATTTGTTACATGAGGATTATCTCAACATCCTTTTACAGAATAAGAAAAGAAGTAGGTTTAAAACGTACTTTTCTATCTACAGTGCACTACTTACTGCAATCAATGAATCATGCGTTGTAATTAATATTAAGTCCTATTATTATGTTACATTTAATGAAAAATAATGTCATGAGAAAACTTCCCAATCCTAGTTTTTATTTTGCTTTTGATCTTTGGAGGTCAATAAAGTGATGCACAATTGTTGGAGATTCCCATCAATAGCCTGACAGGCACAAAGCAGTTTACATTTTATAAAGTGAAGAGATAATTAAGCTTTTTTTGGGGGATAACAATACATTGGACTCCGGTCATGTGATTTCTAAAAAAAACAAATGTGCTCAGTATTTGGTATTTGAGCTGATTAAAAAAAAAAGCTGATTAAAATCCTGAATTAATAGCCAGGGGATCACATAACTGGTATGCAGGTGTAATCTTTGTTTCTGAGAAAATAATAAATCTGACCTATCATCAGAGAAGGATACTTGACTGCAGTAGGCAAAGAAAACACTGCTACCAAAAATGTACAGTACACCACACGTGGTGGTAGGCCTTCCTGTTTCATAAGCAACATTAAAGTTGTGTATTTTTAAGTGTTTCTGTGCACCTTCTTTTCAGTTATGTGAATAATAAAAAATTCATGCCATTTAAAAAACAAAAATTACAGCTAGAAAGAAAGATGCAACAATGCCCTGCCTCAGAAATGAAGAACATTTGTTTGCCTTTGGTATGAATGAAGGCTGGCTGCCTGCAATAGAAGTGACCCAGAAAATGACATTTTCTCATTCAAAATCAGCAGAGTAGTACAGAGCAACCTGGAAATTGCCTCTCTAAGGAATGGACAAAGTTCTGAAAGAGAATGGCGATTAAGCAGCCTAGGACTTCACATCCATCTAATCCATCTCTGTAATTGTTTTCCGAGGCTACAGCACAAGAATGTCCAGGAAGGAACAGAACACTGTAGTCTTCTATTTGCATGCTTGGTGGCTTTTGAGGACTAACATGGACAAGAGAGAAAGAAATGCAGTCTTCTGTGGGCTAAAGGACATCTAGAGTGGCAGCAGAGAGAGACTGTTGGAGTGTTTTACTCAATAATGAATGCCATTTGCCCTTGGAAGACCTGACAGATGATGCTGTGTGTGGAGACATTGATGGGAAGAAAATAATTTTGAGGTCTTGCCACAGCCAGGCTTTTCTCCAGACCTGAGCCCAATATAACATCTGTGAGATCAACTTACGAATGCCATCAACGTGAGCCAAACACAACCACCCAGCTTGCTGCAGCTGCTCAGGAAGAGAGAAAAAGCATCCCACAACAGGGTAGTAACAGGCTGATAAGATCTATTCATAATACAGTAGGTGCAGGATTGTGCTAATGCTCTAGGAAGTAGAACCCAATTTAAGCTGTGAAATGCTTTCACTCACAACAGAAACTGAATTGTTTTTCTTTGTTTTTACTTTTCAGCACAGAATTAACCTATACCTTTTACTTTACAGCTCACATGCTGCTGTAGCTCTGTCCACAACCATTTATATTTAAAACATTTGATTTTATCCATTAAACCTGAGTTACATCCGTTTGGTGCGCAGGACAGTTAGATTGTGCTATATGGATCTTTTTTGTTTTCTGAGGAATAGATTGTTTTTGTATTTAACAGAGATTTAAAAACAACAAAATACTTCTGCCCAAAATAATATTTTATTGTTAAAGCATACTAGGGTTACGCTTGATGTATTCTGAATGTATAAAGAATCGATAGACCAAGGAACTGGACTGGTTCCTCTTCCTGCACTGCTACAAAAAAAGTGGATGCCACTTAAAGGTTTAAATCAATACGAATGCACAGAAAACTACTTGAAGAGGAATAAAGACAAATGTCTCACAACATATGCTGTCATCAGAGTCAGAATAAGTAATCAATTCCATACAGTTCTAAGTAAGTGAAAAATCAATGATAATTAAATAGACTGAAAAGGGATAAACGTGGGACAAACAACAGACTCTGAGCTACTTGATAGAGAGTCTTGATAGCTAATTGTCACATACACATTAATAACATTTTTAGCTTAATAATAAAATACATTTGTATACACAGAAAATGACCATTTTCTTAGTACAGTACTTTAGTAATGAAGTAAAATTGAATATTGCAATTATACAATATTAATGTAACCTTTGTCAGCTTTGTTCAAAGCATTCTCTGTCCTCTCTGTACTGTTTTCATGTGATTGTATATTTGGAGTCTTTATTGTATTTGCTATTTTTTAACAAAATCTTTACAACAAGAAACACAACTTATTTTTCTCCCCATGTGAATAATGACTAAAACACTGAAAAGTAGCAAAGGTGATAAATTGCACAGCAGTCCAACAAACCTTTTCAATAGCCACTGAACTGGCAGCATTATACTTGACTACAAATGAGGGAAGACGTAAGCGGTACTTCAGGCAAATGTTCACAGTGGACTCTTAATGTCTTGAAATTTACAGAATAAGGAATGTTTTTCTTGTCCTTTTCATTTATCAGGATGAATTGCTTTAGACTAGATGCTGTTGCCAGTATTTAGGGAAGACAGAATAAATTCTCTTTCTGTTGAAACCCCCCTCTGCTCTCTTTCATCTCTCCTTTTTGATCAATTTCAATTTGCTGTCCCAGTGGTTCTAAGAAGAGCATATCTAGCAATATAAATAACTTAGTGGAAAGAAGACTTTTAATGCCAGCAGTGTCTGTCTCTATTACAGCAGGATCTATTGGATCAAGAAGCAAACATATTCCCTGTGGAGACTATTTTCTACCCAATTAGAATTTACCTTCCCCACAGATATGTGGCCTGTCTACCCCAACATGCTCACACAAGACTTAATTCCAGTCCTTTGCCTTTTTAGTATACTATTCCTCCTCAGGACTGTGCTGAATTGCTTTGTGAATGATTGCAATGTTTTGTCCTTTCTGACCTCACTTGGTATATTATTCCACACATTTATTATTCTCTGTGGGAAAAGCTGCCTCCGGGCCTCTAGTGTTTTTTTTTATTTTAAGAAATGTACTGTGTTTCACATCTTCAGCACAATTTGTATATTTTAACCTTTTCTCCCTCTTATCATGATGTCTTTTCAATGAAGTGCTCTAGAGCAATTACATATATATATAAAGCAAAAAACCTGCTGCAATATTGGGGATTGAAGATTGTATTTTAAGCCCATGCGTTAAACACACATTTTTATATAACGTGACTTTCTTTATCATCATTGTAAATCAATACTAAGGATCGGAAAATGGATGTCATTTTAGGTTTACCAAAAAGAGCAAAGAAATGTTTTAATTTGGAAAAAAAAGTGGAACAATGGGATTTTTAGTTTATCTGCAACCATTTATAAAACTTCAGTACAGTACTAGACGGCTTACGAACCATATATAGCCACCTAAAATGACATTTATGTTTTGGGAGCCTGAAATAAATCATTCTAGATTTCATTCTTCAAAATATGCAAGATTTAAACATAAAAAGGGCAGCTTGGTGATGCAGAGGTTAGCAATGGTGCCTTGCAGGGCTGGGACCCTGGGTTCAAATTCACCCCTGTGTGATTGAATTAAACGAGACCAGTAGGGAAGACCGTTTTTATTCCAAAAAAGGGAATCTATCCTCTTTCGTAGACTCACCATCAGCTGTGTGCATTAGCTTGTGGCTCTTCAGAGTGCATTTGGATTTGAACTTCTTCCCACACATGTCGCACAGGTGTGTTTTCTCGGTGTTGTGTCGGTTCATGTGGGCCTTGAGGTTGCTCTTGCTACGAGTGGCATAATCACAGAGGGAGCACTTGAAGGGTTTCACTCCTAAGAGGAACGAGAGCACAGGCAAGAGTTCAAATACAGCCCTCATAAAAGCAATTAACCATGACAATATCTGCCATTTCCATTTAGAAAATGTTCACATACCTACTGTGACTGCAATAGTTTAATATTAATAGATAACAAATATTAATCATTATTTAAAAAAGACATTTATTTCTTACAGCTTTATTCATCTTAAAAGAAACAACAGAAAATCAAGAGAAAAGCTACTGATGGTGTGAACAGGCCATTTAAACCATCTGTGCTCATTCCCATGCTGGCTACATTCTTAAATTATGTGGACCTTTTTAAAGGACCAGGTCACTCTATATTTGTACTGTTAGGCTTGTGTGTGTGAGCTTAAAATTAAACAAAGATGCATATGCTGGGGTTTAATTAAGATGTTTAATGTTAAACTCACAAACATATTTATTACAGATGGTAAAAACAAATCTGTTAAAGCTCGACAGAAAAAAAACCTTTGACACAAATGGAGTATGGTTCTTTCATTTTAAAATGTATTTTTGGTTGAGTTAAGAGAGGGTGCTTCGTTATTACAAACATTCCATTTCTAAAGTAAACTGCACAAACTGTACTCATCATATCCTAATGAGATTTCTGAGCATTCCAATCCCATACAACAATTACATATAATGAGATTGCATGACACAAACAATATGGAGCCCCTTCAATGTTCTGTCTTTATCACCACTGTTTAATTTGCAACTGTTGCTTAAAATCTGCTTTAGCAAAGGTACATACAATAGAATTGGAGTAAGATTTTGTCCACAAATTCATCAGGTTTTTGGGTTTCTGTATTTTCCTTAATCCACAAAGCAGGAAATTTCACATTTTAAAGTTGTAAAACCTTATCCCTCGGACCTTATCCCTTGCACTCTAATAATGGCATTCGATGTCTTTTTATCTACAGATGACAATATATCAAGAATCCATTGCTGTTATTTCAGAGCGATATACTTGTCAATTTTTGGAGGAGCTGATTTAAGATCGTTTGAGACTCTTTAAATCAGGAGACTGAGACCGATGTTTGTGCTCTTGATGCAAAGATATGGAACTATCAAAATAAATGTGCTTGACACCCCCTTAGCTGTCTTTGACCTTTTTTTATAAAATGCAAACACAATGGATAACCTTCTCTATCTAGACTAAGAGAATGAAGTATTCAAATAAATTGTTATATTGTATATATTGTATGCAGTATACTACCAAAGGAGTCTTCTTTTCATACAGAAAGGTTTCACTTTCATACACTTGGTTTAGTACTTCACCATGCAACAGTCACTGCACTTTATTTCTTTACACATAACAGCAAAGCTGTAAACTGATTGTTTTCAGAAAATGTACACTTTTAACTTCTATAAAGAGGAAACACATTAATACTACTCTAAACAATGTTTTGCTTGCACCTGAATTTCTCATTGTCATTGTAGCCTCTCTGTCTTAGAACAGACTTCCATCATTGTCTCTAGCCTGAACAATTCCTGATATTAATGTAATTTAAAGCTGACGGAATCTCACACACTAGTGCTCTAATCTCAGTCTCAGCTGAAGGTGAACCTGCTGGAAGTATGGGATGGAATTAGATTGCAAATATGTAACTGGCATGTATAACATGGTACTTTCTGCTTAAGATATTCTTGATGCCTGCAGAGCCCCACTTCAGCCTCACTTCCAAATATTTTTACTGTTTCCAATCCAAAACTGTTCTAGTGATTTTACAGTATGTCATCTTTTTTTTTAACCAGCATACGTAATAAAGATGACATACTGTAAGTAAAAGTTTATTCAGAACACACAAAAAGTCGAAGATGGATAATCTATTACAATATATCGTTGCAGACTGTGTCTGAAAACATTTTACAACCTTTCCCATGCCATTTAAGACCTCATGTTAACAGGGTCAAATAATAGTTTTAAAGGTTAAATGTCATCAGTAGGGAATTTTAAGTCCTGTAATTATGAAAACTGGTAATTCCAATAAAGTACTAATACTACCCTGACTCTGACTCATATGCTGCCTGGGATACACTGATCTCAATATCAGGGGATATGCTTCACAGTTTGTGATTGTCAGCACTAGGTGCTATATTAAAATGACAGGAAGGTGTCTGGATTTGTCACCAATCACTGTACAACACACATTTCTTCACATACACATTCATAAAGAGATTATGTAATTCTCAATACCTCATTCTAATTTTCAAGCAGGTATTCAAATGAACTTAAAACATCAAGGTCATTTTGATTCTCCCCCCAATTAATAATGTCCTTTAGGAAACAAGACTGTAGCAATAACTGAATAAACAATGAGCTGATTATGCCAGGTTCAAAGCCCTGTCTCTCAAACTGCTGTTCCTTCACTTTGCTGTCCTGCTTACCCATCAAAACATTTCTACAAATCCATTTTTCGGCTCACACATCAGAAAAAAAAACACTTCGGTATGTACACCACACCGTAGTTTTATTATGCAGAATATCCAGTTTAGGATTAATGGCATTAACTCCTTTGTGACTCCAATATTTTGTAGATTTGGCTAAATTCAAATTACACACTCACTTAAAAGAAGCTGCTGAAATCACTAGTGAAAGACATTTACCAGAAGCACAGTGCCTACCTTCATGGGCCCATATGTGTTGCTGAAGGTCAGAACCATTTCTCATGAAGTAACAGTCACAATAAGGGCACTTGGATGCACGTTTTCCAATTAGCCCCTTCAGCTGCACTCTCCTTCCAAGAATTTCTGAGATTTTGTTCATCGATACATCTGAAGAAGTGAAGAATGATCTTCCATGATTATGTAGTTAGGCAAATGGTTCTTTGAAATAACCTGATAATATCTCAATAAAGTATAAATTGGTTTTACTAAGCAGAAGTCTATTGAAAGCTAAAGAAGTCTATCATTGGTAACAGCTCATATAAATCTCTTACATCTACTGAGGTAAGAGTTGTGTATCTATGGCCAGGATCATTGCATTTTATTACACACTGCAAAATCACACATTATAAAAAATTAAATAGTCATGCTATAAAATTCAATTTTGAACGGTGCACAAAAATGTTTTAAGGACATTACAAAGGTTTTAGATACAGTATTCCAGAAGATTGATTTTAAAATAAAATAAAAATCACACAAAGTATCTTCCTTCATAATGACAGATCTTAGGGGGAAAACATTTTCTGTACAGCCTCACATCCTCATTCATGTATATATAATTAGATTATTCAGAATACAGTATAATGTCTGTCCCTTGGTCAAGTGCTACTCAGAGGGAAAAGAAAAACAGTGGCACGATGAAAACTGATTCCATGCCTACCCTGCTGTATTAGTGGCGTACAAAGCAAGATTATAATTCTTCTCAAAAGTTTTTTTTTAAAGAAGTTTAAAGCCTTTATCCTACCAGGAATCTGAAGTATGAAATTGAGCATTACACTGGATTTAGACGTTTATAATCACTGTTCATCTAGTAATCAAATTTTAACTTCAGAGAGTTTATCCTTTTATTAATCCCAGGAGGTTTTTAAGACTTAATGTAAATGCACTGTAATGCAGACAGGCTTTCTGTGGTGCCAAAACAAATGCAAGATGATAACTAAATAGCGTGACTTTTTACTTCTACTTCTGTTTTGAAATCCCCAGTAATGCCGCTTATAAAAACTCCTTTTGCATCTTTGTCCCATGCAGTTTTACACCATGTATATTGATAGATTCGGTGCTCCAAAAAATGTGTGATCTGATTGATGCGATGTTTTGACATGTGACTGATTTGAGGTTTCTCCTATTTTAGACTATCATTTTTGCAGATATTTTGTTTTTGTATCTTTAAGTGCTATATATTGTAACGCAACGGGGGCTCAGGCGGGTGCCCTTGCCGCATTAGGTTGGCCCCCCACCGTCGGGGGCTCGAACCCGGGACTCCCGCGTCACTCAGCAGGGACCCAGCCCGGTGAGCCAAAGAGAGATCTCTCTACAGCCCAGTAGCTGTAGTCCTGCTATCACTGGGAAGGGCGGCGACGTCACCGCTCTGGTAAGCCGGCTCTTACACAGTGCCTGTCGGCCGTAAGCGTTACACTCTCCCCTGCTTAATTTGCCGTCCCCGGTGAAGGGCTATCCCACCCCGCTTCTGACACCAATGTAACGCAACGGGGGCTCTGGCGGGCGCCCTTGCCGCATTAGGTCGGCCCCGCACCGTCGGGGGCTCGAACCCGGGACTCCCGCGTCACTCAACAGGAACCCAGCCCGGTGAGCTAAAGAGAGATCTCTCTACAGCCCAGTAGCTGTAGTCCTGCTATCACAGGGAAGCCGGCTCTTACACAGTGCCTGTCGGCCGTAAGCGTTAGAATATATTAAAATGTAAAATGCTTAATGAAGCAGATACTCAATAAAAATACCTTCAATGTTTAGCTTAATTAAATGCTGCAATTTGAATAAATACAACTCTTCATACTTTGTATAGATTTGATGCCTGTACATTTTGCATTGGAATCACATACTTTACAGCATGTTATGGATCAATAATAGCTTCATTAACACACAGTTAATTGTTTGTCAATAAAAGAGTGAGTCATGATAACACCAGCGAAAAAACTTAAATGAAATCATCCCAGCCATATTATGGTTTAATTACTTACTGTTACAAAAACAGCTGTGCACATTTATTGTATTACAGTTACTATATAATTAATTTACAACAGCAATATATGGTATAATAAGTACCATTTTAAATTAAGATATAGTCTAGAATGAAAAATTAGAGAAAACAATAACATAAATAATATTATACCATAGTTGGATTTGACATGGTGTGTTGTTTCGTGAATAAATGCATAATTATAACTAATCTTAATCATTTGTTCATTTGTTGTATAGAACATTAGGCTGGGAATACTAAGTCTTTATTTAAAGCTTTCATGAATTAATGCACTTTAAAAAATGTCAAAAACTTATTTTAATCATGAGTACTACAATAATCAAACATTACAGCACACCAGTTCTGCTATACATTAATACTTAAATATGCATTGTATATGATAAAATCTATGGTAAACTCTGACTATGTCTACAAAACACAACCATTTAAATTAATTATCAACGGAGGAAAATAAACTTAGTAGAACATCTCCAAATGGTGGCTGTCTAAAGGAATCTGTACAAATGTTTGAGATATGCTTAATTCTTTCATTTTTATTGCATTTTCTTCTCAAAAGAAAAAAACATGTTTTGTGACCGAATTTGCATACTCCCTATATTTACAACTTTAAGACAGTGATATATTTCTATAAGACTTGCAGCAGGGAACATCAAATAGTTTAAACTCTAGTAATGGATCTTTCTGGTTGGTCCCTCTGCTACATTACATTGATTAACTTTCTTAGTTAGCATTCAATGCATCTTGAATAACAATTGCTTTTAGGATTGTCTGTAATAATTTCCTTAGAATATTTAGAAAAGATGCCCTTGGATACATTCGTTTTTTAAAGTTTGCTGTGTGTTGTTCAGGCTCTGTTTTTTTGTTATTTACAGTGGATGTTTTTTATGTTAGAACTTTCTTTATTCCTCAATGATAATTGCTTAGACTTCAATGAAAATAACTTAGTTTTCCATTCCCCAGAATAACTGTAAATCTTAATCAGCAATCGACTTCCCTAATACCTTCAATTAAGTATTAGTGTCAATAAAACACAAAGGCGGACTGGTGAGAGGATACAGTCTCTAAGTACTCCACATATACTGCCACGTTTGTGTCTATATTATTGATGCTTCTGAAATTATAGGATATTTCCTTGCAATACTTATTATGTCTATTATGAAAGCTTTGTTTTTGTCCCAAACAAGATTTCTAGGTTTCAGTGGAATAAATGCTAATTTCATTGTCTACCTGATGATACAAAGCTTAAATACGTACAGTTTTGATCATATGGAAAAAAAAACCTTCAGTTGCACCACAGACAGATCCTGTGTTATTGCCCTCAATCATGCTACTGTAAATCCTACAGAAGTCTATCCTTTGCCCAAGCATACCTTGCAGATATTAACCTATTTCCCATCTTCTTTGATTCTGGAAAGGTTTTGAAAATAGGGCTCCCTGGTAGTTCATTCAGCATGTTGTATGATACAATTATCTTGGATCCCTCCAATCCTGTGCATTCCTAAACAGCTGTGATGAAACTCCAGTAGTGCAAATGTCAGTGACAATAGTGATCTACTGCTCAGTGCTAATGCCCCTCACTGATTAGTATGCTGGCACTGATAACTTTTGTCAACACTGGCCATGTAATCTCCCTTGATTGCCTCCAATAGGGGTTTTTATGATTCAGTACAAATCTTCAGTTGCTCAGTAGGACACTTGCAATCTCTTTCTATTGCAGTACATTGCTCTACCACAAAATATGATCTCATATAGTGTTCCACCACAATCTGTATTTCGACTACTACATTTTGAACTCTACGTTTTGTCAAAATAAAGTGAAATATATTGGAACAATAAACTGTAATCCCAACTGTTGTCACAAAAACTATATAAAACAGATTTTACATGCATGCCTGCAAAATCATAAGACACAAACATACGTGCTTCAGGAGCTCTTGCCAGTTTAATGGTATCAAGACTTACTATTAGATCCCGAATCAAAACTTTACAAATATGCCTCGGCTACATTATTTTGAAAACCATTCGTTTCTGCAATCCTGAACAATCAGTCACCTGAAAGTCCACTTAGGTAGTAACCTCATCTCCACAGCACAGTGCAAGTCAAGCATCAATTACTAAACATTGCAAAGGACTGACCCTATCTCTATTTTGTAGACGCTCATAATCTTGTGTCATACCTTTTTATTTCTTGTCTGAGTTAGTGATAAGCTTTACTTAAATGACTGTATTTGTAATTCACAATGAAGTCTTGCAAAATGCAACAGCCTGAATTGTTTCTAAACAGCAACAGCTGCCAAGCAGGTTTTAAACTATATTTAGGTCTATTCTCCCAAATCATCACAGCTTCCACTATACTAGTACTGATTACTGCTTCAATTTCTTGATGCTCTGATTTTCTACCTGGCAATACTAGGTTCTTTAAGTCTGGGCTATCCCTAAGAAATACAGTTGGCAATCGTCTGCTGTTTTTGTTGCACCTGCTACTTTGGATTTCCAATCAGATACTGTTCAAGTTGTTCCTCAAGTTGTTCCTGTTGGCTGACATCACAGCTTCCACTATACTAGTACTGATTACTGCTTTAATTTTTTGATGTTCTGATTTTCTACCTGGCAATACTAGGTTCTTTAAGTCTGGGCTATCCCTAAGAAATACACTTGGCAATCGTCTGCTATTTTTGTTGCACCTGCTACTTTGGATTTCCAATCAGATACTGCTCAAGTTGTTCCTGTTCCATCTCTGCAGAAAATCTAAACTAAAAACACATCTGTTATCACAGATTTTTCATTCTTCTCTCTTGATTGATATCTGCTCTCATGAGCTAAAGTTTTCTAATCAGACGGGCTAGCAACCAAGTGTTTTTTTTCTTAATATTCTCTCTTCACGAATTTTGTACCTTTTTTTTTACAATTAGGTTTTTGTAAATATGTCATTTGCAAGTGTTTGGAAACGAGCCCTTTTATATAATTTGTTAGGATTGTGTCATTTATTTTTATTGCAACAGTAACCTGAAGGAACTATTTAAATTGCAAATCTAACTGTGTCATAGTGTAAGATGACTCACTGTACATATGGTGTACATCATGAAAATACACAAAGAGCTGTTTTTAACTGAATAAATAGACTTAATAGATGTTATGCAAAAAAAATCTTGTAATGTAACTTTTAATTTTGTTTAATAAGAACCACCAACCCACAGAACATACAAGCCCTGTGTGTGGAATTCAGTAAGCAAGCAAAGAAAAGCCCTGCTTCATATTCAGGTGGAAAAGTCAATATGTCTCTGGTTCGTACCTGGATGGTAGGTTTTGATGTGAGATTTAATAAGTCGATCCTCAGGAAAGGTCTTCTCACACACAGGGCAGACATAACTTCTTTTATCCTGAAAGAGAGTTTGACACGTAAAGTTAATATTGTGTGAAATTAAACTACATAACATAAAGATTTCACCAATAAAGTAAGCATCAGTGACTACTACAGATTTAACTGAAAAACTCTTTAAGGAAAAAGAAACAATCAAGTTCACTGTTTAAAATGAAGTTTGTTGGAACTACTTTTATCTAGTTTAAGAAACTGTAAACAGAAAAGTTCCCAAGAAGTTTTGCTTTCCCTATAGACATTACAGAAACACACATAAATGCAGCACGGTGGCTCTGTGGCTAAGGATCTGCGCCTGTGGCTGGAAGGTTGCCGGTTCATATCCTGCTGCCAGCAGAGGAATCCTACTCCGTTGGGCCATGGATCAAGGCCCTTAACCCCAACTGATCTAGGGGCGCCGTATAAATGGCTGACCCTGTGCTCTGACCCCATGCTTCTCTCCCTGTCTGTCTGTGTGTCTCATGGAGAGCAAGTTGGGGTATACAAAAAGACAAATTCCTAATGCAAGAAATTGTATATGGCCAATTATTCTTATAATCTCTTATTCTTATAACTCTCTCTGTTATTTGGGCACTACAAATTGCAGCCTATCTGCTAGGTACAAGAATTTACCAAGTATGCAATTCAATGGCATTAGGAAAACGGATGATCCATGACAAAATTAGAAATCATGGTAACTGATCTTCACCTCAAATCAGTCAATGTGCTTTGTGTCAACAATGACTGTGCAGAGAAGGAATGCATCCCTGTCCAAGTTAATACTTCTACCAATATACTGTGAAATCTGTTAAATTTGTTCTGTACACAGGATCCAGCCTTCAAAAGCAAAATCATAATGTACTTGGATAACCTTCTCAACTGGATATTTGCTAATCTCTTGCAAGCTAGTAATATTCTCGAGACATCTGTCGGCACAATGTTTTGCTCAATTATTGTGGCACTCTTAGCATGTTTGGACTCTTAAACCTTGGAGTATGATTGAGACCGGTTTCTTTCCCAGGACTATACCATAGACAGGCCCATAACCATTTTTCAGCCTTCTGTGAGTATTCATAACTTTCTAGCTTACCTTGGCAGGAATTTAATCACAGTTCTCTGCTCAAAAACAAGTTTAATGCATGCTGCCATCCTGACTGAAAAACAAACCAACAACAGCACTTCCATTTCTCATCTTCTGGTGCTATCCAAATTGCAACATAGTTTTTCGCGTTGCACTGACTGGATATTTCATTTTAGATAATAAAACTACAGACACATTCCAGTCGATGCTAGTACCAAAAGAGAATAAAATGATGTCATTCTCTAATGTTATAAGATTTATAGGCAATAACTCTTAAATATGAACAGTCTGCAAACACAGTTTCATTATGCTGAAGTGCAAAACAGCATCATTCATGCCACAGATAAATCTTCATGGAAAGAAAACTCCAAAGGTCAATTACAAGAAGATTAAATAACCAAAGGTTGTACTTTTTTGAGGTCACAAAACTGCAGATATGAAATGGACCGAGCTAAATTCATCTTTAAATTCATCCAACCATTTTCTAACCGCTTCTTCAAATTCAGGGTCGTGGGGAAGCCGGAACCTTTCCTGGCAAGCAACAGGCACAAGTAAGATACATCCTGCCCAGGACACCAGTCCATCGCAAGCCAGACACTGACATTCATACTTAGGGCCAGTTTTCCCAGAAACCAACTAACCTACCAGTATGTTTTGGGGCTGTGGGAGGAAACCCACATGAGCACAGGGAGAACCACTCTATGCTAACCAGTGCGCCAGGAAAAGTATTCGGACCTTTTCTTTTGGTGTCTGATTTTGTGACATTACAAATTGATACAAACTCTTTAACGTTTTACACAAAACCTAAGGGCTCAAAATGAATGAGCAAATAAGAAATAAGGGAAAAAATGTGATTATGTTGATTGTGTAAGCATTGTAACCCAAGAACTCTATTTGGTAGAGTTATCTTTGGCAGCGATTGTAGCTACAATATATGTGCATAGTATCTACCAGCTTTGCATACCGACAAGGTGTAGGTTTTAACAATTCTTCTTTGCAGTTTTGCTCAAGCTCTCTCTAGTTACTTGGAGTTTAATTATAAAAATCAGTTTACAAGTATTTTCCTAGGTGCTCAATAGAACTAAATTCAAGACTTTGAATGGGCCACTCTCAAGGACATTCCTTGTCCTGCTGAAAGGTGAATTTGCACCCTAGTTTTTAGACTGATACAAACTAAAACAGGTTTCTTGTCTGTACTTTGCTTTGTGCATTTATTAAATCAATCTAGTTCCTGCTGAGGAAAAGCTTGATGGCAAGAATAGTGTTGAATAGGAGATGCTCTTTTTGGGATATTCTGCTTTTTAATTATACTAAAAAGTCTAAATTGTATGTTGTCTGATCACAAAACCTATTTGCCATATGTTTGCAAACATGCTTGTATCACTTAAATTGTTTGTTGGAAACTATATTTGCGATGGATTTGTCACTCTAAAATATACGCTAGTTTTGCAAACTATTTTGGATGTTGTTTATTGTTGCACATTTTCTCCCATCTCTGCCACTTAATTCTGTAACTCTTTCAAAGGTGCCACTGGCTTCACAGTGCCATTCCTTACCAGTTTCTACCTTTCCTTGTTGCTCAGTTAACAGTGAGTACCAGTCATATCTAGTCGGTATCTGGGTGGTATAATTCATCTTGATTAACCTTCCACTTCCTGATAAATGAGTAAAAAAGTAATTACAGGGATGTTCAAAAATTTGGATATTTCTGCACTCTTCTCCTAATCTTTCATTTTCAATGCATTTATCCTTTCCATGCTCTGGATGCATTGTAGTCTTCCTGGCTGAGTTTTTGTTTGAAATTCACTACCTGAACATAAAACCTCAAAGAAAAGAGGTGTTTTCAGATAGAAATCATAATAGAAATTGATTATTGCACAGAGAGGCTACTTAACTGTGTGGCTCTTTAAGTCATTTTGTCCAAAAACATTACAAATTAGGTTTTCCACAACAAAGGATTTAAATACTGATTTAAATAATGCAATCATGACATTTCCATTTTTCTTTTGGAATAATTATTATTTGTGAATATAACAAATATTAATTTCTACTTCAAAGTGTCATGACTGAGAGCTTCCAAGCAACTGTATGAACTGTGCAAGGGTCTTAAAACTTTCACAAGCCATTATATTAAGCTCAACTAAAAATGAATAAAAAATGACTAGCTCAAAAAAAAAAGTAAAAGGTATTTGCAAGTTGAATGTTCTCCAATTATGAGTTCACCAAAAAAACTGTTGTAGATACCACTATAAACATATTCTTTAATATTATATAAATGGAGTATTTTTTTTTCTGGTAGAGCACTACAGAATACAACTCATTATTTTTAATGAGAAGACAGCTGTATATTTTGAGTGTGCTTGCAGCTAGGGAAACATTTCTTCCTTCCACTGAAAGGCATCAAAGCCAGGCAACAGGACCATGGTTTCCATAAATGTTGCATATGTTCACTAAAAATAAAGGACATCTGCATCATAAAGTCTAATTTTGATTTTCATACAAGAAAAAAAATACTATTTTCATTAAGCCATATTTCGTATTTCAAAGTCGTATTTCCCCCTGCATCTTCACATGAACTGCTCTGAGTGTAGTATTAACATTTTTTTATTCTGCAATCCATTACAGCCTAAACTGTAAAAAAAAAACTGTACTGAATATGTGCAAGAGAAAATGTGACAACCAAAAGTAAACATGACACACAAAAGTAAAGCTGACAAAACTGAAGAACTGTTAGCAATAAAATCTGAATATCACACATTCTGTTTGTAGATAGCACTTCCAAAAAGCAGTGTGGCAAATGCATAGCATATTTGTTTTGGCTGATTTGTGACTAAAAGCTGAAACTTCCTTCACTTTGTATTTTTAGGCAATGATTTTTTTTTTAGATGGAGTTATATCTTGTTGGTAAAAACTAGCATACTTTATGTTGAGGTGCATTAAACCTAACCTGCCCATTCGTCTACCTGCATGTTTAGCATAAGTTAGCATACCATTCATGACAATAATGTTTTTGTTACGCTTACTCAATCTATTCATAAATAAAATCTATAAATAAATATAAGTTTAAATTATAAATCACAGTTTTAGTAAAAAATAACATTTCATAAACTGGATTCTAAAACTGCTCCATTTAATGTAAACTTTAAAAAATACTTAAACCCATAAATGTTCAAAACAAGGCTTCTTTATCCCATTAAATAAATCATAAAAATGCCCCGACAAGCACTCCAAAGGTGTGCATTTTGACAGTCCTTCTGAAGTCTTAGATATCATACAAGATTCTGAGCCACATTTCTGCCAGGAATTTTAAAAAGAAGCCATTAAAATAATCAGTTTCCAAATTATACAGTATGTATAACTCTTTTTAAACTTAACATATGTTACTACCTGAATTTAATTTGATCTGGCAATAGGTGTGGTACAAGCAAGTATCTTAAACACAACATGTGGAAATTCAAAACAGGATGCTACAAAGCCAAAGTCCGGTTCCAATTTTCTCTGTTTTGCTGATTGATGGGTTAGCAAATAACAATGCAAATCACAAGAGCATAGTGTCATGAGCAGATTCTTTGAAACAGCCAACGTTAGATAACTAAATGTAGAATAATAATAGTAAAATTGAATGTATATGCATTTAGAAACACTGACACGGCTGTCAAATTCAGCAATGAAAAGTGACTGAAGAGATTTTACTGTTCAAGGAAACATTAAATTTAGACTCTAATTACATCTTTTTAATTTTTAAAGCATTCAGCCTATTTCTTCAAGGTCAATAAAATAAAAGCATATCCATAAAATAGCAAGAAGTATTGCTTCTATTTTCTTAACTTATAGGTCTGATGTCATAAATGATACACATCTGAAATAAAACAATAATATATGTAAATTTGGTCCTTCAATATCAATTCTGTCCTATTGCTTCTTTTTTCTGCCTCCTCATTTCT